GTCTCTCCTGGACATGCTCCTACTTTCAGGGTCGGATCCGTTCTTGGCTCTGTCTTCAGCCTCTTCCCTGGGGGTCACAGATGGCACTGGAGGCCAGGAGCAGTCAGGGCTGGAAATGAAATTGGGACATCAGCAGAGTGACGTAGAACTCTGTGCGCGCGTGTGTGTGGGTGTGTGCGCACACACGCTGGTGCTAAAGCTGCGCCGTCTGGGTGCACACAGGTCTCCTCCTCTCCTGGTGGAAGGCCCTTCCCCCTCGTAGGCACAGCCAGGCCTCAGCTCCGGGGTGGGGGTAGGGAGGAGGGACGCAGTTGAACTCTTGCACTTCCCCAGGACGACAGGAGTGGCCGAGGATCCATCCTCAGCAGAGAAGCAGGTACCATGGGGGCAGAGACGGGAAGGGGAGGAGCCAGTGAGCGCGGCGGGTGCCGGGGCCGGCCTCCTGGATTCTGGCGCTGTGGGGGTCTGCCTTGGCTGCAAAGAAAGTACTGTGCTTTAACCCGGGTTTAAAGTACTGTGTTAAACCCTCCGTTTGATGTGCCGAGAACTTTGCCCCCTCCATCCCTGATGGACTGTCCTCAGGTGGCCAGGAAGCTGGACGTCAGCAGTTGGCTCCCTGGATCCTCCCATCCTCAGCGGGCCCCCAGGGCAGGGGAGACCACGGGCCATGCCCCCGGCCCAGTTCAGAACCCGCCCTCCTGTACCGCACGCGGGGCTCACTTAGTCCTGGGATGCTGGGTGACGCCAAATGGAGTCACCTTAGGTTTGGGGAATGGGGGGGTCCACCCGCCCACACTAGCACCCAGAGCTCTGAGCCACAAGCGTGTGGGAGGTGCAGCTGACCAGGACAGCGTGGCCACGTCTGTCTGCTCGTGTCTGTCTATCATCTCACGCTACAGACATGCAGCATGGCCTTGGAGCCACGGGGCCAGCGCCCGGCAACACCATGAGATGCACTGCATCCCCATCTGTGTCTCTGTGTCTCTGTCTGTCTCTCTGGCACACACACATTCACACACACCACAGGTGTACACACACGTGTGCTCACACGTGCGGTTAGTCCCAGGGGCTCCAACTGTGTGACCACCATGCACGTGTTGGCAGAGCCAAGGAGGGGAGCGCACCTGTCTTCCCACAGCTTTGATCTGTTTTCCTCTCTTTGATTCCGTCTCAAACAAACCCCTGGGGATCATCCCCTTTCTTTATTCATCTCTCCTTTTCCTCTCCAGGCAGCAAGATTCAAAGGAAAGAACCCCAGGTGAAGAAGAAGCTAGCAGAGGGCCTGGGGGCTGTCCCCGCCACCCACCATCCACCTCAGGACCTCCCCCCCCCCGGCAGATCGGAGGGATGTCTCCCCACTCAGAACCTTCCCCAGATGGGCTGCGTCAGCTGGGCATGGCCTGGCTCCTTCCAGAGTGAATCAGGACGGGACTCTATCCTGACTGTGGTTCCCCTGCTCCTGCCAGGAGCCCCCCCTTTGTGGGAGCCTGAGCCCTCCTGCAGAGCCCCCGGGGGGACAGGAGGGTCCCAGATGCAGGGAGAGCCGGGCCCTCCCCTCCTGCAGGCGCGTGAAGCCCTGTGATGAGAAGGCTCAGGTTCTCCACCTCCAGCTCCTCACTGTGCCTCTGACCCCAAGGTAGCATCTCCGCCCACCTGGAGGGTGAATAGAAGCCCACCCACCCTGCTCTGCTCGCAGGGCTCTGCCCCACGAGCCTGCCCGGGAGGCCGTCCACTGCAGTGGACGCTCAGCCCGGGACACCGTCCAAGTCAGGGGCTTCACTGCAGAACTGCTGGGAGGGGGCGGTGACCCAGCCAGCCGCTGGAGCCGAGATGAGCTGAGAACGGCTGTCCTCAGAGAGAGGTCTCAGCGTTCCCTTGGGTGACTGACAGGCGGGGGCGGCAGGCCGGGGCCATGACCGCAGACGGTGAGGGGCCAGGGGCTGCCAGGGGTCCAGGGGTCGCCCAGGCTCTCGCCTGGCTCAGCTTTGCCAACCACGGGCTTCCTGGCAGTGGGGGCGACTCCACGAGCTGTCCCACAGTCCCCACCCCACGCCCCGTGATGGGAGACTCAGCCAGGAAGTGATCCGGGCGGTGGGCGCCAAGCTCTCAGACCCCGAGCGGAGGCCTGTGATGGAGGGACCTGGAGGAAGTGTCCCCAGTGGTGGGGGCGGAGCTGCGCCAAACTCGGGGTCTGCCTGGTCCGGGGGACGCGTGCACCGGCTCCCGGTCAGGCTGAGGCAGGGCTGACGCCCGGGCTCTGTGACCCTGGGGGGCTGTGACCCTGAGGGGCCCTGTTAGTGCAGGAGGGTCACCAGGTCCTGCGAAGGGGCCCGGCCTGGGTCTGGTCTTCTACCACACTGACCTGGTCACGATCTTATTCACCACGACACACACACACAGCTGCATACACACACACCCTTGCACACACACACAGGGCCGGGCTAGAGATCTTGGCCCGTCTCTTTCCTCGGCATCTCAGCTGACCTGTGCCCTCTGGCTCCACGGGGCCCAGATAATGGGGTGAGTCAGGAAGCCACCAGTCTCCCAACAGCCCTCTCCCTGAGGGGTCAGCCTCTCAGGGTGGTGACCTGGCCTAGTCACCAGCCCCAGGCCAAAGGCACAGGTGCCAGCAACGACCAACACCAGCCCCCGAGGCCACCAGCTCTCGGGTGTAACCGCGCCCTCTGTCTGCATATCACCCCCTCAGGTGGCCGCATGTGACGCCTCCTGTTTGCTCCTGGGCCCCTGACCCATGCAAACCTCCCCTTACCCCTTTGCTTGCTGACTGTTAGGACCCCGGAAACTAGAGAGGTCACAGGAGTCACGCAAGGTCACAGAGCCAGACAGGGACAGGCTGCCCTGGGCTCAGCGTGGCCCACTGTCATCCCGCTGAGAGTCCTGTGTGTGTGTGTGCATGCATGTTAGTGTGTGTGCATGCTTGTGGTACATACACTGCGAGTGTATGTGTGTGATTGGAGGGGGTGGGTTAGGAGACCAGGCTTGCCCATCAGGAATCCTGGGGGCAGTAAGGAGAGCCTCAGGCCCAGAGCTCCACCAGGTGAGGGGTGCTGACCAGCCCTGGCCCCTTCTCCATCACAGGAACCCCCGTAACCTACAGCGTCAACCACGTCCCACCTGATCCTCCACAAAGGTTATCAAAGGCAGACGAGAGAAATGCTGTTTCCATCACTTTGAAGATGATCAAACGGGCCCAGAGAGTGCCTGCCTGAGGTCACCCCAGCAATGAAAACAGAAAGGGGAGCAGAGAAGGGCGCTTCCTGCAGTGCCCGGCTGACCCGGGGTGGCGTGGTCCTCCGGGCGTCCAGGCCTGAGTCCCACAGCTCTCCCAGGTGTACGATGAGGGGGGACCCGGCGATCTACACAGCATCTCCCAGATCAAGGACGATTGCAGAGCCGACCCGAGGCAGCAGGAGGCGGCCGGCCGGAGACGGAACTGAAGCCCACGAGGTCTCTCCAGCCACCCATCCTTGTCACCGCAGAGCAGCCGAAGCCCAGCACACACATTGCCCTCCTGAGCCCAGACCAGGCGTGGGGGATGCTGGGGTACCCCGTGTGCCTGGGGGTCCAGCCTGGTGGGCGGCCGGCTGGGGCGGGTCCGTCTCCGCCCCAGCACTGGGTCTCCAGGGGTGGTGAGCTGACTGTGGATGCTTCCTCCTTGCCTCCCCGTGGCGAAGCACCAGCTGTCACGAGTGGAGCAGAGGCATGTGGGAACCGTCCCCTCCCCAGCCCGCCGTGGAGGAGGTGTCCGAGGAGACGGGAAGACCAAGATGGGCAACGTCCCCGGGTGTCCGCGGAGGACGGCAGCCCCCTTCTCCTCCGTCCACAGCACACCCCCAGCCACGGCACACAGTCACCTTCTCCTCCAGAGGTGTCCCCAGGCTCAGCCCAGCCCCTTCCAACACCCAGGAAAAATGAGGAAGAAGCCAAGGAGAGACTGAGAGGGAGAAAGCTCAGAGCGATTCCCCAGGACGTCGCTGAGCCATCGACAGAGAAAGACAAAGCGGAACACAGCCAACTAGAACCAGCTTTATACCTGAAAGCCATCCCCACGTGAGGCTGCTTTTATGTCCGAAGCTGACCTCACAAGTCCCTCTTCATCATCTCAAACTCTCAAGCTCATCTTCCAGGAAGGTGTCTGCAAAGAAGGCATTTTGATTCAGGACACGTCCTGTGAACGCCAGGGCGGGTGGCCGGTCAGCCCCGGGGTTCAGGGTTCGGGGCCTCCCCCAGAGGGCAGGGTGGGACCCACGGCCGTCACCCCTTCCCCTCCACAGGCCCCGGCCCCAGCCCCCAGACTTCAGCCACACACACGTGTTCCCCGCAGCCGCCTGGGAGACGTGAGGTCCTGCTGGCTCACGGAAAGCGCAGGGGCCTCGCTGACCCCCACCACTCACATGTTATCATCAGGCCCCAAGGAGGCCGCCGAGATGTGGGGAGAACCCAGCTTCTCGCAGCCGGGAGGGGTCTGAGCCCAGGTGCTCTCCCGGCCGTCAGGCGGGTGGTCCTGCCCTGAGGACCGGCTCCTCCATGAGAGGAGGCTCCGTGACTCCCGTGTCCTGCTGCACCCTATGGCAGGAACCTCCAGTTAGAAGGAACCGGGCGATGCTGCCCGCTGGACACCTTCATTCCCAAAGAGGTCCAGTGACAAACGGAACTCGGCCGGGAAGCAGGGTCCTTGGGGGCGTGTGAGCCCCAGGGGTTCACACGGAGGGAACCCCGCGCCCGCCCAGGGGCTCAGCTGCTGCTGATAAAACCAAAGTGAGAGGCAAGAGCAGGAGGGCAAGGCTGACTCCCGGCTGCTTCCGCCCGAGAGCATTTCCTCCAGGGACACGGTCACCCTGCCCCCCGAGCCTTCCTCGTCCTCCACGGCAGGCCGGGGCCGGGTTGAGGGGTGTCCTGAGAACATAGGGTGCACCCCCAGACACACTCCAGGCCAACCCCCAGCCCCGCCAGCAGCCCGCTGCTCACCCGGCGCCCAGGACCCGCAGCGGAGCCGGCGAGACACCGTCCCAGCCCCCAGGGACCGTCCGGGAATTCAGCTGCCCAACGGCCCACGGACCGGGAGCAGAGCGGGCTGGGGGCCCCAGACGTGCAGGCGCCGATGGAGCCCCCATCGCCCGAAGCGTCTGACGGGGTCATTCGACCCCCAGGAACGCCGGGCCTTCTGGAGGACGAGCTTGGGGTGCTCCCGCCCAGCCACACCCAGCACCTGGCCTGGAGTGTGACCCAGAGACCCCGGAGCTGAGCCGCCCGTCGGGACGCACCTGCCAGCCTCGGGCGCAGGGACCGCACAGCCTGCGGGTCACGCGGGACGGCGCGCGGCTCAGCCTCCCCGGAGCTGCCCCAGGATGCCGCTGCCTCCCGGGCCAGCCAGGGCATCGCCGTGCAGACAGCGGGCTCCCACAGGGGCCCCTCCACACGGGGCCACCGAGCACGCGGGGCCACAGCATACTGCACGCATGCACACCCCCGGTCCACACCAGCCCCACGGTGTACACGCATGCACACGCACCACACACACTCCCAGCAGCCACAGAGGCACACCTGTGTGCTCACACACATCCCCCGACATGGCCCGTGGTTAGAGGAGCCAGATCTGGGGTCCCCTGGCCCCTCTGAAGCGTTGGCACCTGGAGTACCCCCCACCACCACCTCCCCTGCTGCCAGGAGCTGCCGTCTCATCTTCTCTTCTGTCTCCCGCTGGCCTGGGGCTCAGAGCTGGCAGGAACCGGGGACCGGGGGGGCGGGGGGCAGCCCGGGAGGACAGAGGAAAGGGTCTGTGGTCACACGTGGAGATGGAGCCCCACGTGCTTGCTGCCCTGTGCGGGAGCCGGGCAAGCGGGGCGGCGGGGAGCTGGAAGCGGGGAGGAGCTGGTGGGGAGGAGCATCCAGGAGGGTGGGTGTCCAGGGGGGCTGGAGGGCTGGGGCCTGGAGGGGAGTCTGGGGTGGGGAGGAGCATCCAGGAGGGTGGGGGTCCTGGGGGGCTGGGGGGCGGGGTCTCTCGAGTCTGGGCCCCGGGGGCGCGTCACCCCGGTCACAGCCCAAGCTGCACAGTGTGTGTCCTCGGGGAGGACGTGCAGGCCACCTCTGGCTCAGCTGTGGCATCCGCGCGGGCGAGGATGAGCCTGGGCCCCGCGCCCCACACCTGCCCGGCACCCCCTGCCACCCTGCAGTCCGGGAGGCCGCTCCTGTCGGCGCGCCATGCCCGCGGTGCCTGCACGTCAGAAGCCAGGCCCTGCTGGTGACAGGACGCTGCTTCTGCGAGGGCCAGCGGCCATCAGCATAGGGGGCGGGGGCATCTAAAGGGGCCACACAGACACATCTGCTCAGACACACGCACACAGGTACACTTGTACAGACACACACACAGACACACAGCACTCACGCACAGAGACACACACATACAGACAAATGTCCTGAGAGCTGGCGGCCCTTCCTGGCCTCCCTCCGGAGAAGCCCACCGGCCTGTGAGCACCACGACCCTGGGCGTGAGCCCTTCCTGCTGGGCGCCCGGAGGGCATCTGTCCCCTGATGTCAGACCTCTGAGAGTTGCCACCACCCCTGCCCGTGGACAGAGCCCAGCCTGCGGGGGACCCAGAGGGTGTCTTGCACTGCGCAGGATTGCCTGCGTTCACGCGTCTTCCAGCACTTTCCGGGATCAGCAGCCGGCGGGCAGAGCTTCCTGGCGGTCTGCCATGCCCGTGACCCCAGGCATGAGGATGGCACAGGGTCGGGCACCGGGACACCAGGCACAGCCCTGGGGGATCCTCCCCGGCCGCTCACCTTGGTCGGGGCAAGCAGTCCGAGGAGCCTCCGGGGGCCTCAGCTCCCGAGGGGCATGTTCCTCCCAGGTCACCAGGAAGGCGTGGAGTCAGGACCTCCTGTGGGCCTGGTGCGGGGACTCGGCCTGCAGCGGCCTCCCCTCGGGTCCGGCCTGAAGCCCGTGCCCGTTGTCAGCTCGTGGCATCGGCCCCGGGACCTCGCACTGCTGCAGAATGTCCTAGCTCCTCTGCCACCAGTTGTGAAAACGCGCCCATCGTGAACGAATGAGGCACCCCGTGCTCAATCACAGCACACAGGAAAGTCCCTCCGTTGTTAAACGGTACTAAGACCAAAAACTACGCATTGGAGTAGATGACTGTCCCAGGTGATGCTGTGGTAAAGAGCCCGTCTGCCCGTGCAGGAGAGTGAAGAGAAATCGATTTGATCCCTCCTGCCCTGGAGGGGGGCATGGCCTCCCACTCCAGTGTTCTTGCCTGGAGAATCCCATGGACAGAGGGGCCTGCGGGCCACAGTCCCCGAGGTCACAAAGAGTGGGACACGACTGGAGCACTTAGCACGCATGTTAATAAGTGCACATGGAAATAAATCTTCCCCCACGCTCTCTTAGATACTTCTGGAAGATCTCATTTTTTTACAACCTTCTGGAAAGCAATGTCCTTGTACTTATCAAGGGATTCTAAAACATTCACATTCTTTGATCAAAGGTGAGAACATGAGGTGCAGGCAGAGTTTTCCTCACAAAGCTGTCTTCTGTAACCATGCTTCTGAAGCACAGGGCTCTGTCTTGCAAACAGAAAAGCACTTCATTTTCTCCGCCACTTTCTTAGAGGCCTGCTGTCTCGATGACCGAACCCCACCGTGAACAAGACCACAGGCAGGTCCTGTAATTCCTGGGGGATGAGGTCAACTGCAGAGGACCGAAATCCAGCAGAGGTGACCTCAGGATTGCAAGCTCGGGCCCAGTGGACAGCTGTCTCTTCTGAGATGGTGAACGTCCTCCGGTGGGAGGGACTCCAGGGAGAAGGGAGCGAGGACGACCGTGGGGTCTGCGGGGGCAGGACTGGTGTAATTAGCCGTTTGTGTCATCAGATGCCAGACCCAAGCCTGCCCCTGGAGGTGGTGACAGACGGCCAGCAACAGGGAAGATCTAAGCTAAGTCATCGCCTGGATGTAACTGGACATCATACAGCACCACCATTAAATACATGACTTTTTAAAGTCTTTAATTCTTGGAGAGGAGCTTATGCTTAAGTGTGGAGCATGAAAGTGGACAAAAGTCCCTTAGAAGAAAACTTGAACAAACTATAAGAAATGGAAAGAGGGCTTATTCCTGTGCAGGTAGTTAAGGATGCTTATTTGTGTTTTTTTTTTTTTACCTGCTTTTTCACATGTTTCTGGGATAATCGAGTGTTCTGATGAAGATGCGCTGATTAGACAACCAGAAAGTGAAGTGAAATTTAATGCCTGGAGCAGCACGTGAGCACTGCTTCTCCGGACAGCCTGCCAGGTGGCCTTGCCCTTTCTTCCCTTTCTCTGTAAGTTCCTACATCTTTCCCTCCACGGAGCAAGGCTTTACCTCTTAAGGGAAGCAGTCCTGGTATGGACAGCTTGCATCTCCCACCCTGGTGGGTCAGCGCATGGCCGCAGTCGGTAAGAAGGAGGCATGCCAGCTGCCTCCTGGAGAGGAAGAGCTGGGGGTGTGCGAGACCCCCGCAGCCCCTGTTACCAGTCCATCGCCTGCCCAAGTAGATGAGCAAGAGAAGGCGGCAGGAGAGAGGCGCCCCGCTGGTGAGGGCCCAGAGCATGTTTGCAGAATGAACTCCTCCCACAAGCTGTGCTTCAGTAGCATCCGTTGTTTATGCTCTGATTTTGTCTGCCCAGACCCCAGCTGGAGCCCGCCTGCCCGAGGGCTCGCAATGACCTCAGCCCCACGGGCGGCGGAAGGACGGCGCCCCTTCCCCAGCATGAGTCTCTGTGGCCCTCCCCTCCCCACAGCAGAGGGCTGGGAGCCGGGGTGACACAGCAGACTGCTGCCCAGAGCCAGGCCGGTGCCCAGCTGGGGAACAGAGCCAAGAAGGGCTCTTAGCCTCCTGCCCCCAGCGTAGGACCACCAGCAGGGAGACAGAGTTAAACCGGGCTGGTGGAGCCCTCCCAGGACCCCTCGGAAACGAGTCACCGAGACACTGAGGGCGCTTTGCTCAGGGATCCGACGCCTCAAGTTGGGCTCAGGAGGAAGCGCAGCGACCCAGAGGCCGCTGCCACCCAAGTGGGAGGCCTCAGCTCGTGCGGGGGGCGCGTCCTCCTCCGTCTCCACCCCTCCGTCCTCCTGCTGTCTCTGGGGGGGGGGGACCCGCTGCCTCGTGGTGAGGGTGGGCCGTGCAGTTCTCGCGGGCGGCCTGCAGCAGGCGTGGCTCCCTGCCCGAATGTCGGGGTGACACCTTCTCCACACTCGTGTCTCCTCTCCGCTGTCCACTCGAGACCACAGGTGCCCAGCGGCCCCGCTAAGCTGGGTCCCCTCACCACCACCCGCAGGAAGCCCGCCAGGGGCCTGGCATCTGACTGATGTGGGGCCCGAGATGCCCTTCTCACTGAGCATCTAAGATGATCGGCCAGACCAAACAAGGTCAGATGGAGTCGCCCCTCTGCTCAGAAGAGGCTCCCCTCAGTCCTAAGTGTCCTGGGAGACGCAGCGGCCCCCACGTTCCTCTCCCGACCTCGCCTCTCACCTCCTCTCTGCAGGCTTCCAGCTCCGCACACGTGCTGAGCGTGCCCCGCCTCAGGCGTCTGCACGCGCTGCGAGCTCTTTCCCCGGGCATCCGGCCACGTGACTCGCCCGTCTGCTCTTCCAGAGCTTCGTGCAGATGTGAAGCCCGTGTAAGCACACTCCCCACCCCGTCCCCGAGTCTCTCCTTAACACGTCACCAACAGTTCGGCGTGCAGTTTACTTATTTTATCTTAAGTCTTCCTCCAGTGGAAGGTGGGTTCCATGAGGGCAGTAACTTGTGTGTGTGTGTCTGTGTGAATGAGTGTATGTATGTATGAATGAGTGTGCGTGTGTGTGAATGAGTGTGTGTCTGTGTGTGAATGAGTGTGTGTGTGTGAATGAGTGTGTGTGTGAATGTCTCTGTGTGTGTGAATGAGTGTGTATCTGTGTGAATGAGTGTGAATATGTGTGAATGAGTGTGTCTGTGTGTCTGTGTGTGAGTGTGTCTGTGTGTGTGTGTGTGTGTGTTGTGTCCCCTCCTCTCTCAGTGCCTAGACCCATCTCTGGACCTACAGGCCTCCGTCAGTAAGCACCTGCTGAATGGATGAGCTGGGAGACAGGCCCCAATATCATAAGCAGAGGACAGGCAGGAAATGGGAAAAATCAGGAGACCCTCATCCCACGGGGATCCATGTCTGAACTACACTTGACACCGGGGTCCCAGCGGCAGCTCCATCGAGTGGGGGCTGCAGGCCCTG